ACATGCAAACTCCACACAGAAATGTCAACTGACTCAGCCGGGACTTGAACCAGCAACCTTCTTGCTGTGAGGTGACAGAGCTAACCACTGAGCCACCGTGTCGCCCAATTTATCTATCTATACTTGAAAATAAAAAGTTATGTATCAAAGGGGTTTACTTACAATCTTATAAATAGCACAGCCGCTTTCTTGAGAAATACTAAAAGATTCATAAAACAATATACACATTATATTATAAAAAATTTGTCAAATATATTTATATATTTTTCCTATTTTTCCATGTTTTATTTGATAATTTTCACTTTATTTTGTTGTTTTATTTAGTTTTTTATGTATTTGTTTTAATCAAATTATTTGATATTTTTGTACACTTTTGCAAATTATTAATGTAATTAATACATTGTTTTAGTCCCATTTTAATTATTTATTTTATACAATTGTGTTCAACCTTTTTTTTAATTTCACTCATTAATTACATTTTTCTTTCAGCTTTACATTTTTATGCTTTTCTTCAACCATAACAACAGATTTCCCAAAATTCCCATGCACTCTCAAACAACATTCATTCATTCATTTCTTTTCGGCGTAGCCCCTTTACTAATCTGGGGTCACCACAGCGGAATGAACCGCCAACTTATCCAGCAAAAAAATTTAATTCTCTCCTCACAAAAGATGATATTTTGAAGAATGCTGAAAACCAGCTTCACAGCAAGAAGGTCAGTGGTTTTAGTGGTCAGTTGGCATTATTGTGTGGAGTTTGCATGTTCTCGCCGTTGCTGTTTTCTCTGGTTGTCCAAAGACAAGCACTATATTCTGTAGGTGAATTAGGCACGCTAAAAAATTGTCCGTAGTGTATGTGTGTGAATAAGTGTATATGGGTGTTTCCCAGTGATAGGTTGCGGCTGGAAGGGCATCCGCTGCGTAAAACACATGCTGGATAAGTTGGCAGTTCATTCCGCTGTGGCGACTTCAGATTAATAAAAAGACTAAGCCGAAAATAAAATGAATTGAATGAAATGAATTTTGCCAGATCAATGGCTTAAAAAAACGTTAAGTTGCTCTTTTTGATCATTAACCATGTCAATATACTAAATCTGAAAAATAACAAACAAACTCATCTGAATTTAAATAAGTAATTGTGTAGATTCACCACTAAAATCTACATTTCACAAAAAAGGGATGCCATAACACAAACACATTGGTCTCTAAAAGATGCTAAATAACAATCATCAACATCTCGTGCTGCTGAGGTGGCATTAAAGAGCGTCTCACACGAGGAGAGGATGGCCTGTAATTTACATGGATCTGCAAACGCTCCCAATTAAAGCCTGAAACAGCAGGATCCTTGTACAAACCAACTGAGCTACTGCACCGCTGAGCCACAGGCAGATGAACAACCAGGTGTGTGTGTGTGTGTGTGTGTGTTATACCCCATGATGTCCAAGTAATGGCCTAATAAATCTACTCATGCAGAAAGCAGATCTCACCACTGTTGGGCCAGGCATTCCTACACCTGCTGCTCCTCAACACAGAATCCAGTCGTCCTCCAGAGGCTCTGTCTGTGGAGCCATTCATCAAAGGTCTGTTTTTAATCATTTGTAATTTTGGTTAAGAAAAAATAGGTCTCAGCTATGTAAAATAATAATAATAATAATAATAATAATTTCTAGTCCATTTCTAGACAAACTGTGCTGAGAGTTGACTGAAAATGTGAATTGAACATTGACCAGAATCTAAATTAACAGCACATTAAGTACTCAAATTAAACGTGCATTAAGTTTAAACTGACTTACTGTAAATGAGGTTGTACAACTTACAAAAATAAGTTGAAATATTAACCTATTTTAGTACCTTTAAAGGATGGTTCACCCAAATGTAAACATTTCCTCATCGTTTCAATTCATTCTCAAGTTGTTTCAAACATTTATGAATTTCTTGCTTTTTTAAAAACCCAAAAGTTATTTTGGGTAAGAAGTTATTTTGAGGAATGTTGGAAGTCATTGACACCCGTAGTAGGAATAAAGCAATTCTAAGTCGATATCTGCTTTCCAACATTCTTCATAATATCATCTTCAGTGTTTGTGAGGCTGACGAACCAGGAAGACTTGTAGTGGGTTCTCGATGGATGGTTATGCGAGAAAAACTCAGGAAATTGATGGCACTGTACTCGCTAATGGAAAGTGTAAAGTGATGTTTTTTGTTTTGTTTTTTAAGGTGTACAAGAGTGAAAACCAAAATAACCCAAAGCCCCAGCAAAGTAACTAAATAACCACAAATAAAAGAACAAAATAATCAGCAAACAAACAAACAATATGTGTACAACCACACTATTATACAAGTCACAAATGGGTTATATGCACATGGACTTCAGCCAGTAAAGTGTCAGTCTTTCTATTGCAAAACTGTCACGTTTAGGATCTGATTTCTTTAAAAATGTATGAAGTGGGTCTCAGATCAGACAAGTAGCACTGTATTAAATTCCATTTCCCCCCCGCCATGTCTTTAAAATATGAGAGTTTATTTTACTCCAGTGTTTTCAATGGAATTTCTGCGCTAGCCTGTTGCTACTGACGGCGCTAGGGGTTACAACAGTCTTTTGTCTCGTTTTACAATTGAACAACTAAACTAATGATAAAGTCTATTCAACTGAATGTATTAATGCTGTAAAAACAACCTTGTGAAATTAAAAATAGTCATATTAAGCTTTCACCGGAAGTTTATCATTGGTTTTAAAACTCTAGTTGTGCATAGAGCCCATGCTGACTCGCTCACGCACTCATCCGTTAACCTGGTTTTCACTCTCGTGCACTGTAAATAAATGAAACCCAATCTTTGGACAAATAAATAAACGAATTTAACAAAACAAAAAAAGTCAATAAATGAAAACCACTGTTTGGTTAATTAAGTAAATAAATAAATATAAGTAAATAAAAATAATAAATTAATAAAATAAAAAACACTTTTTGGTTAAGTAAGTGTAATGAATAAATGAATGCATAAAAATAAATAAATATAAATCACTCTTTAAATAAATAAATAAATAAATAAATGAAATAAACAAAAAAATAAGTAAATAGATGAAAACCACTGTTTGGTTAAGTAAACAAACAAATAAATAAATAAATAAACACTCTTTGGTTAGTTAAATAAATAAATAAAAGAATAAACAAATAAACACACAAACACTCTTGGTTTTTACTCTCGTACACTGTACATAACCCATCACTTCACACTTTCCATCAGCGAGTATAGTGCCATCATTTGTCCGAGGTTTTCTTGCATTACCATTCATCGAGACCCACTATAGCCTTCTTAGTTCGTCAACCTCATAGTGTTGAGCAGAACAGTAGAAAGAAACTCAAACAAGAGTGAGTAAATGACTTTTTTTAAGTGAATTATCCCTTTAAATTTAGACAAAAACACTTGTTGTTGATGGGGGGTTTCTTCTTAAACGAAGATGAGGAAGGTAGGATGAATGGGCTTAATTATTGAAGGCTACAATTATTCTGATTGGTCTAGCAATGATATTTGATTGGACTAGCAATGATTACTAATGTGATGCCAGCCGCGATCAATCATATCATGTCCTCCTCTCTAAAATAACTTTATAAAACTTCATTTAGCGTTGTTTTGATTGCTTGGTAAAAATCTAATGCAAAATATACACCATTATAATTTTTTGATTTGTATCTTCACAGAACTTAAACAAATGATAGTAAAGCAAAACGACAGATTTCATTTTTCTTTTTCTGGACGAAAACAACCAAGAAAATTAAGCAACACCGGCTCATTGGAAACAAATGCTAAAAACTGCAAATAAACAAATAAACACTAGGGGGCAGTACGACGTCAACAACTTTTGTTCCTCTTGTCTTGACACTAGTGATATTTACAGGGACATATTGTCAACTAATAAATGACCTATTTGAGCAGTTCTTTCAAAATAAAAATCCCAAAGCAACTTAGACGCAATATAAAAAATGCATACGGTGTCCAGGATCAGTGATAGAACATGTTTACCTCAGCTGACATCTCCATGGTCAACTTCTCTTTTTCTGGTAGCTAGTGTTTGAGTCCGGCAAAGGAGATTCCACAAACGAAATAAAAGCAATGTAAAAAAATTCGAGGTAAAACTACATGCTTGCAGGGCACTTTTCTCCTACATTTGCTTTTAAAAACACTATGGTAAGTGGACATGTTCAAGGACGGTTTTCTAAAATGTAAAACAAAAAGTAGCGTATATAACAGCGCTCTCTAGCGGATTTGACATTGAATAATCATAGTTAATTTGTAGAAAGTAATTTATCAATCTTTACATGGACTGAGGGGCGTCACAGAGGGTACCACAATCGCCTCACAGCAAGACAGTTGAGCTCTGAGCCCTGTCTGGGTCAGTTGGCATATCTGTGTGGAGTTTGCATGTTCTCCCCGTGTTCATGTGGGTTTCCTCCAGGTCCTCCGGTTTTCCCGACAACTCCAAAGACATGCGCTATAGGTGAATTGGATGAACTAAATTGGCCGTAGTGTGTGTGTGTGTGTGTGTGTGTGTGTGTGTGTGTGTGTGTGTGAATGCAAGAGTGTATGGGTGTTTCCCAGTGTTGGGTTGTGGCTGGAAGGACATCTGCTGCCTAAAATATAGGCTAGATAAGATGGCGGTTTATTACACTGTGGCGACCCCGGATTAATAAAGGGGCTAAGCCGAACAGAAAATGAATTAATGCATATGGACTGACGCCATTCGATTAGATCAAGATTTGATCTGAATCAAGACTGAATTGACCTGAGATAAATAATAATAGTCACTGTCTTTAGCATGTTAGATTATATCTAAACTGAAGTCGTTTTCTGAATTAAATCAACACAAAATTCTGATACGTGCAAGATAATGACATACATGTCTCAATAGTTGAATGTCTGACACAATGTCTATTCTATGATGGACTATAAACTCAAAGCTGACTTGACTTCAGTGGGTAAAATATAAAGAAAAACATGAATCCTCTGAGAATTTTTGGCAACATATTTATTTTATTTCATAATGTTGCACTGATTTATTATATCATTGGCCTGTTAGATTAAGGTCTCCAACACACAGTAACACAACCTCTGCTTTTAATACTTCATAAAATCATCATGTAATAACATTGTAAAATTATTATTCATAACAAGCAAATAGTGAAACTAAAACTTTAGAAAAATGCTAATACCAGAACGCAAAAACAAATTATAATTACTGCAGCATACAAATAGGCATGGGCCGGTAGAAGATTCTGATGGTATGATAACCTTGGATAAAAATATCACAATTTCACAGTTATACGATATTGAGATTAATGCTCAAAAATATTTTCCTTATAAATATTTAAAAATCTAAACCTTTTGCCCCTTTGTACACAATATACTTTAATTTGGGAAACATTTATAGTATTTTAGAGCAGTAAACATTTCAGTCTAAATAATTCAAATGAATCATTGACTTCTGCTGTCTTCATTTGTTTCAAACACTCAGATTATTATTATTTTTTTAATTTAAAATGGCATCTTTGGAGATCTTTTCTGCTGTCCTTAAAAAGCTTAAAAAAATGCTTCTCATCCCTTAGAAACGGCAAAGCAGAAAATTTTGACAGTTTTAAAACCTTGACTTTTCCAAACCGTGGTATACCTTGAACATGGTTATCGTCCCATGCCTACATACAAATTCTTAGTAAGACAAAAGGAAGACAATTATATATATAAAACATATTTTCAATCACTATACAGTAGTCAACATTTGAAGTGACATCACAAAGTTCTCCTCAAATCCTTGAACAACACCCATTCTTGTCAATTTTAAACAACTTTTTGTATCCACTTCAAATATTGTCCACTATATTAATAAAATAGCAAGTAACAGTAAATTAAATGTAAAATAAAAGTCCAAAAAAGAAAGTGAAAAAAAGGAGTTTATCTGTTTACAGTTTCTTGTAAAAACCTCAATAATCTTTATGAACAACTTTGAAAAATGTGTCTATTTTTATGCAGATTGATTTTAATTTTGGTGATTTGATTGCACATCAAACTTACTCTAAAGTGATTATTATTAACTGATTCTCTTATTTTGCTGTTGATCTCTCTGAATCTGTATGTTTAGGTCTATAATGTATTGTACAATGCGTTATAGAACTTAATAAAAGCATGCCTTTTATCAGCAATCATCAAATTCACTCCATTCCCTTTGGTGTTACCTGGGTCACGCTGCTTTGGGTAGTAGTTGAGTGATGATGGTGATGGTGATGATGACGGCCATGGTGACGGTGACCATGATGATGAGGGCGATGTCCATGATGATGACGACCATGATGATGTCGTCCATGATGTCGGTCATGATGTCGGGTATGATGTCGGGTATGATGTCCAGTGTGATGGTGACGATGATCTCCATGTCCATGACGTCTGTGTCCATGATGTGAATGCATGATGGCCTTCGATTCAACAGTCGCTCTTTCTTTTTGAGTCATGTTCGGACACATGGAGTTACCGAAGACGTCTAGATCTATGAGGACAACTCCAATACCTCCAAAGCCTTGCTGGAGTACCTAGACGTGTTGATTTTGTAACTTAATGTAATGTTGATTGTTATCATCAAAATTAAACCATCAATTATCGCAAAAATTCTGTTGATGTCACAATGCTACTGGACGCTACTGGACGCAAGTAAACGCAGCATCATTTGATCTCATCATCTATCTAACACTTCATGTCACTTTAATACTTATAATTTACTTACCTCTTTGATAGGACTTTGCTCATCCGAGACACTAGTTAAAGTAATGAACTGCAATTGTCCACTTTTAACAGCCTGACACACCTGAACACAAGAGTTTCAGACAATTAAACAATATCAGAAGCTAATACCTAATGCTAAGCTAATGCTAACGCTATCTACAGTTATGGCATACCTGATCGCCCAGGTACAAGTTCAAAAGGTGAACATGATCCTTCTTTCCTTCCTCTGCAGTCGTATCATCGTGTTTGGGATGATTTCTGTGGTGATGTCGATGACGTGACCTCTGAAGAAAACCAGGCATGACTAGACCCAGCTTCTGCAGGTCAACTTGTTTGTCCTGCCAGTGTTGGGCTGTTTTGCTCTGTTAAAAGAAAAGTTAAATGATTAGTTTGCCCAAAAATTATTAATCACCAAACACTTCCCACCCCCTGAGACCTTTATTTTCTGAACACAAATTAAGTCCTCCATATACAGCAATGATACCAAGACACACAGAAGTGTTGTTGTAGCTTCGTATGGCTAAAGTTGAAACACTGAAATCACATTGAATGTTTTGATAATATTTTTGGTTTCTTTTTCGGGCACACTTGAACAATTGTTTCAGACAATTAAACAATATCAGCTCTCGGAGGAAGCTAATAATTAATGCTAGGGTAATGCTAATAACGTTTAGGGACTGATGCTGTCTATGGAGGATGAGAGAGCTCTCAAATTTCATTTACAAATATCTTAATTTGTATTTAGATGATAAAAGTTCTCAGGGGTTTATAATGACATGAGGGTGGGTAATTAAAAACTGATTTTTTATGTCTAGGTGAACTAACCCTTTTAATATAGACTTTGAATGCTAATATGTTAATGGATAAATGCGATAGATCCAAACATGTCAGACCTACATCATTCCTGGTACTCAAAGAGCAGTCATTTTAAATGGTTTGTTCACCCTAAATTTAAAAAAGTTGTTTCAATATTATAAGACGTTCATTCATGTTCTAAACACAAATTAATATATATATATAATATATATATATATATATATATATGTGTGTGTGTGTGTGTGATAACATCTAAAACATTTCTGATCCTCCAATGAAAGTGCATTCACCCAAAACTCTAATGTTTCAAAACAATCATTAAGATACTGTAATATAAATGCATGAAAGTATAAATCAAGCTGTTTATTTTTTCTGAAGAGAGGCGATGGCTTTAGATGATGAACAGATTTAATTTAACTTTATTTAACACATCAGCCAGCCTGAACCTTGTTTAAACATCATTGGTTTAAAGCAAGCATGCTTTTCTATATGAAAATCATATTCTATCAAATATGATTATGGTTATATTAAATGAAAAACTAACATTAACAAGTATGTAGGGTTCCTTTAAAGAATCGCTTGATTCATACAGATTCATTTTTTAATTCATTTGTTTTAAAGCATCAAATTGGTTTGGTTGAATCTTGAAGGAATCTTTTACATTTATTAAAACAAAGATGAAAATATTTGTATTTGTATTGAAAGATTAATGAATTTCAAATGTTTTTTTAGATTTCAACCAAATCCTTTAAGTTTAGAAAAATTACAGATGCAACAAATAGTTACAGTTCAATTTTTTTTTCTTAAGGGATCATTTAAGCCAAATAAATTGTGTTATGCCAATTAAAAATGTTTTTATTTAACTGCCAAAAGTGTAAATGTAGGGTTAATCACATTATGCGGTCTACAGCATATGCCATATTTTTGTAGGCCAAAAACGGGAAATAAGCTTGCATTTTTAGTTTCGATTACGCTGTCCTGAATTCATTGGGTTTGTGGTCAAATGACTGAAATTAGGTCTTTGGTTAACACAAGAAATGCATGACATGTTTGTTTTATCCTATGACATAAAGCACAACACTAGTACCACATTTGTTTTAGATGTCTTAAAAGAAAAGCGGTTTCTAACAAGTGCCCAAGAAGAAGTTGCCAAATGCAGTAATGTCATCTTTTTTAACAAATAAACTTATCTACTCACTACATCTGCTTTAAAAGCCTCACTACGTTTCTAACTGCACTTTTACAAACTACTCTGACTTAAATTTTCAATGAAATATTTTAAAATAATGATTTAAAGCAGCAGAGGTGCCCAAACTTTTTCGTATGAAGGCCCAAAAACCAAACATCATTATGAGCCGTGGGCTGAAGGTAAATATACCAAACTACATTACATTAAAGTTGCCATGGGTAAATCATAATTAATTTTCTAATAATTCAAAATAAATGCACAATACATTTTTAAAAGATAACTTACAGCAAAGAAAAATATAAACAATTACATTCATTCCACAGGGGAGTTCAATCCTGAATACTCTAATCAAGCAGAACCTGCCTTGGACTTGATTTGCTCACCAAAGACTCTTGTCGGGTAAAAGTATGTACATTTTAACAAAATCTGATTAATTTACGCCATTTAATTAAAACGTTTAATTTCAGTAAGCTTTTAACAATAAAACAAACAAAGGGTAACATTAAATTTGAATTGATAGTCCCGAAACTATCCCCATCATTCGTTCTTCTCAGATTTGAGGGCCAAATCAAAAGTTACCATGGGCCAACTTTGGTCTACAAGTTGCAATTTCAGTCTACATTTAACTATTTTTTTTATTTTATTTGAAGACTTTATTATTTGAAGATGATCATAAAATGTGTAAGAATGATCAACTTTTGTTAGTCACAAAAAGTATTTTCTACAACAATAAAAAAACAATAGAAATATCCTATTGGGATTTTGTGGCGGGAATGTTTGTGTTGAAGATCTACAAAAGTATCTCAACACTTTAAGCATTTAGCCCCAAAAAAAAAAAAAAAGATGATCAAATTGTACTAAATATGAGCAATTTACAATGTACTGTCCATCCGTTTGGAGCTGAGCAGGCAGAATGGAGATGAAGTCCACATACCTTTAGAAAAAAAGGAGTTTCAGTACAAAAATAAGTACAACAAGTGCAATATGTTGGTGTGTGAGAATGAGACTGACTGTGAAAGTATTTGCTCATCATAACTGGCCACAGTTTTGTCAGTGGGCTCCTTTACAGACGCTGACAGAAGAAGAGGACGCATTTCTTCCTCAAACACACCTTTTATACTCTGCAAACAAAATGAATGCTTCCAGTTTACTTATTTTTTAAGTCAAACTCATTAAGAGGAGTTTCGTCATCTCAAAAAAAGTAGTCCTTGCCTTGAGAAAATCAGTGAACAGCTCTGTGTCTGAAGGGGTGCCATCCAGCCAAATCACGTCTAGACCATCCAAACGTTTTTCTTTTAAGTACGTCAACAGAGTTTGAATGAAACTCCCAACACTAGCTTCATTTGCAGACATCAGTTTCAGTCTAAACAAAAGCAGATTCAGATTTCTTTAGATGCTAACATGGAAATAAACTGCAGCATTTTTTTATATATTTATATACATTCAAGCCTGAAATTATTCATACCCCTGGCAAATTCTGACTTTTATTCAACCAGCAAGGAAATGACACAGGCTTCTCCCAAAAGATAATACGAGAATGTAAAAGAGGCATCATTGTAGAAATAACATTTCCCTGCTTTTATTTACATTTGAACAAAACATTAAGTTTGCAGACAACAAAAACAGAGGTAGTATGAGGGGGTATGAATAATTTCAGGGTTGATTATATAGATATTATCTTATGTATATTATTTTATTTATTTATTTTTAATATAAATGGTAATAAACACACTATATCACTATAATACTACCTATTAGCATTCCATTAAATTTATATTAAATGTAATTTATATAAAATGAAATTTCTAACAGTAGTATTTCATGAAACATTTTTATTGTTACTATTATTATGATGATAACTTTTTTAATTAAAAAGATTAAACATTTTGTACCTTGATGATTTGATCTCCAGTCCAAGCAAAATCTTCAAAGCTGAATTTCTGTGGGAAGTATAAAGAAACAAATAAATAAACATACTTTTTTGCGTGTTTTGTTTAATTTATGTTGGAGTAATAAAATAACTAAAACAAAAACCTTCAATACAGACAAAAACAAATATTAATAAAAAAATAAACATACACAACTATTTTAAACAAAAATAAAATGGACACAAAAAATATGAATATCAAAATTTTATTTGAACTACAATAATCAAAGCTACGGTAAGTAACGTTTGAACCCTAGGGGTTAATAAAAAAGACTGCAAGCCTATTGCAAAAGAACATCATGGCCAGAGCTACTTCTCAGCAGCAGGGATCGACCCAACATACTGTACCTAAAACAGGCCCAATATTATAACTTATTAATTCATTCATTTTCTTTCAGCTTAGTCACTTTATTTTATCAGTAGTCGCCACAGTGGAGTGAACCGGCAACACATGCAGCATGTTTTCCAGCGGGGTGTCACGGTGGCACAGTTGCCTTACAGCAAGAAGGTCACTGGTTCGAGCCTCAGCTGGGTCAGTTGGCATTTCTGTGTGGAGTTTGCATGTTCTCCAAGTGTTCGCATGGGTTTCCTCCAGGTGCACCGGTTTCCCCCACAGTCCAAAGACATGCGGTATAGGTGAACTGGGTAGGCTAAATTGTCCATAGTGAATGAGTGTGTATGGATGTTTTTCAGTGATGGGTTGCAGCTGGAGGGGCAATTGCTGCGTATAACATATGCTGAATAAGTTGGCGGTTCATTCTACTGTGGCGACCCCAGACTAAGCTGAAAAGAAAATGAATAAATGAATGCCCTTCCTGCCACAACCAAGCACTGGGAAACACCTATACACACTCATTTACACACACACACACACACACACACACACACACACACACACACACACACACACACACACACAACAGCCAATTTAGCTTTTTCAATTCTCCTATGTCAATGTCTTCAATGTCTTTGGACTGTGAGGAAAACCGAAGCACCCAAAGGAAAACCATGCAAACAGGGGGAGAACATCAAACTTCACAAAGAAATCCCAACTTGCCCAGTCGGGGCTCGAACCAGCGACTTTCTTGCTGTGAGGTGACAGTGTTATTCACTGAGCCACTATGTCAATATAACTTATTATAGGCTCAAATTAGACTTAAACACAGTTTGGAAGATGGAATCATAATGCACATGTTTCACTCATGATTAAATTTAGCAAATTCTGAACAACAAAAAAATTACATACTGAACCATTAACAAATGCAGACAACGGCCTATCATCCCATTATTACTTTAATGAACACTGGTTTAGTAATCTAACATGAAACAGATTTGAAAAATCAGACCTCTCTTTCATCCTTTGAATAGCATCATATTCATTCTCCGTCAGGCTCTGGAGGTAAAGTTCATCATCGCTGGAGACGGAGGGCAGAATGATGTGAGTGCAGGAACCCTCACGAGTGTGCGGAGTCAAAACATCCAGATAACAGCTCAGTCTGCTTTGAGTCCTCTGAGCACCTGAAACACCAGTCAAAGACATTATCCAGTCACCATTTACCCGTCCTGAAGCAATATATTCTTATGAAACTTAAAAATGTTTGGAACTGACTTTTAAACACAAAAGAAGATATTTTGAAGAATGCTGGAATCCAGTATTGTAGCTGCACTGGTCTAAATAAAATAATAGTCACACTTCGTACTGATGTCTTTGCCGTTTACTTGTTTCTCCCTCTCTTTTTTCAGCAGAAAATGTGAAAACAACAAGCAATAAAGCATACATGCATTTCTCAGAGTCCTTTTCATTCTCTCATTTAAATGTCCACTAGTATGCATATGAACATGTACGGCAACTCTGAATCTAGTAACATCCGTCTTTACACAGAACATCAATCACGTAAACTGACATAAAACAATGCTATTCACAAAATTTAACAGAATTAAATATGAATTGCCGTGTGCGCCCTCTTAGACCATGCAGATTAATGAATTTTCTCTTGCTCTGTACCTTTAGCTTCTTTCTGCCACCATGTCAGATTCACCCATATTGCAATGGTCCGGCACTTCACTCAACTTAAACGTGATCTGTTATGCTCCAATAGCAACTCCTTCTTTTAAAAACCCATAACTTACAAACAATTCAAGGGTGCACATTCTCTTCTTTGAAATTAAATGTCACATTATATTATGAGTTAATAACAGAAATTAATAGAACAAATTATGTTATATTATATAACAATATTAAATATTTATTAACAAATGAATATGAGTTTATAACAGAAACACACATAAACAAAACATTGATTACCATTTGGCTGTAAGATTTGAGATACCACAAATTCTTTGATACTGGAAATACAGAGACTATAGGCTTCACACGTCACCAGGTGGGAATGCGGGAAAGCCAGCTCCTCTTCTTTCCTTCATTTACATTTTAGGCATCCCAGCAACCCCCTCTCTTCACTCACCCTCTCTTCATACATACTCACTCATACCTCTATATCAATCCAAGTGACTTTATCTATCATGTTTGATATCATTTGAAATATCTCCGTGCGACTGGTACAATGTTCTCATTCCCTCGGAAATAGACATATTCAAAATAATAGATATATAACTTCAGGTATCTTTTGACCACTGCTAAGGGTGTGCCTTTACCTATGGGCTTCTATTCAAATGACCATTTGTTCTCTATAGGCAGATAATATTCAGATCTAACATGCCACTAAATGCAAATGCCTTTTATTATTTAACACACCCCTTTCCTCAAGTAGATTCTTGGTTTGACTACTTAAGGGAAAGTTTCTAAATGTTGGGCGTGAATCTAAAACCAGATAACCCTGTAGTGTGGAGCCTATGCTCCATACTATGTATATTTACAAGTCAGGTATGCATCTTTTGATCTTGGATTTATCTTTGAGAATGTTACGTCTTGTATTGGTTGTTTATAAATTCACTAAATAATTAGCATAATACACATTTACCTGACTATTAAATTGTTATGTTTGAACATATTTAGCTTACTCTGAAATTATTCATTCTAGTAGATTACGCCTCTTTGTTTCCGCACTTCCTGTGCCAGGTCAGTAGACGACCTAAAATCCAGTTGAGATGGAGCATTGGGCACACTAACTGTATTTTAGAGATCTGACTGACTCTTGATACTGATTCAATTGTGCGTTAATTTCCTTCTAGGAAAACAAGGAGTTGCACAACTAACTTAGATAGGGCACCCGGCCCTTTTTTGAAAGTAATATTATTCTAAATTAAATCTATATGGGAAACCATGGGCTCGGCTAAACCAAAATTATTATAGAGAACAGTAGACGGTTACATTTATAATAATGGCCCTAATTGGGTCTCTGATTGGAAATAATATTGTCTTTACTCAAGGGTGTACATCTAAGAAGGACTAATCAAAAATACTTTACAATGAGCAAGCATGGGAGCGGCTATCTAAAAATGTTTCATTTACCTCTGTTTAATAATCAAGACTGACAAGAGTGTGACCGTGAGGGACACCATCGGCTGAGGTGATTCCTCAGAGCGGCATGATCACCCAAAAGAACAAATGTAATAGTTATGATTTTATTATAATATATAGTTAATTTATCTAAATTAAATATTGATATAATCTTCTTAACGTTTTATGATTGGAGTCAGATAAAACGAAAGATAAAGATATTAATATTCTAAACCACCTCATACTCAAATTGGAGTCAGAAAGAGTTAAATTTGAAGTAAATCAACAATGTGCACTGGAAAGACCAAACAGGCAGTGTACCTTCATCCACCAGCGGACACCTTTATTGAGCCAACTGGGTGGACCTTACAGGGTTCTGGTTTACAACATTCTTCAAAATATTTGCTTTTTGTTTTTGTTTGGTATAAGTAGAGGGTGAGTAAATGATAAATTTGTATTTATTTATTTACTTGGTGAAGTATCACTTTAAAACTTGTTGCGCCTCTTAAATTTTTCATCTCACTACGCATGACACAACCACAAATGTGCTGAGAACTAAAAACAGAATGACATTTGAAACAGCTACTACAATCTTACCCACTGAAACCACCAGGCACAGGAACGCAAAAGCTGAAAAACAATATAAAGATAATTTACATTGATATGCAATATCTTACAAAGAAGATCATGAGAAATTGATGTTATTTGGTTTGTTGGTTTTTTCATGAAAGTTGGGAGGTCTGTGGCTGTTTCAGTAGAGGAAACCTAAATAAAATCCCACATCCTGATGTGCTTGTAAGTGTTGTTACAAGCAGCACTCAAATGTTCCATTTTGTAGCAATGAAATATGATGCAATTATGTAACAGGTTAAATGCATTCATTTAAATATGGATTTTGTTACATTTTGTAGTATTTAATTCAGATTCTAAACATCAATTAGCAAAATTAATATCAATTAGCATAGTTATTTTAGATACAGTATAAATATACAAGCAATTCCAGTGTTATGGAAGTGACATTTGCAGTAAAAACTCAAAACATAAATTCATAAAGAAAGTATATGTTAACATTATATCAAAACATCTCTTTATATTTTGCAAAATTACTAACCACAGAGTTATGGGATCAAAAAAATATTAATCTGTAAACCTATTTTGTACTTTAAATGAGAAAAACAAACATGCGCTATGGATGTGACCCAAAAAAGTAAAAGTAAATTCTGTGAATTAAACTGCACAAACCAAAAGAAATAATGTTAATCAAAAGGATAAGAGTCGGCTCTCAATAGAACAAACATGACTTATTTTATTTTATTTAATATTTTTGCATTTATAAGAAAAAAAAGTGTCATTATGGATGTGACAGATGTGAAATTGCCACTTGTGTGACTTTAGTAAATCAAACATAATAGTTTGAAAACATTGACACAGACATTTTTGAGTATTTCTAAAGTACTGTAAAATACTTGCTTACAAAAGCATTTGCGTGAAAAAAGATTGATAAAAAAACTTTTTTTTCTGTGGAAATTGTTATATTTTTAGGATTATCTGATGAATAAAAGGTTAAAACAACATAATTTACTCCAAAATAAGCATTTGTAACATTATAAATATCATAAAATACATATAATTTTTTCACAATATTTACTATAATATTTTGTATATATTGTTTTATTTGGCTAGAATAAAAGCAGTTTTATTTTTTAAACCATAAGGTCAATATTATTAGCCTTCTTGTATTAGTAAAAAATATAATAGCTATCAAATAGAACACCTATTTATTTTTTCAATTGTCTACAAAACAAACCATTGTTACACAATTGCCTTATTAAACCTTTAAATGTCACTTTAAGCTGAATACTAGTATCTTGAAAGATATCTACTAAAATATTATATACTGTCATCATGGTAGAGATAAAAGGAATCAGTAATTAGAAATGAGATATTAAAACTATTATGTTTAGAAATGTGTTGGAAAAAAAATCTTCTGTTCATTAAACAAACCAGGGAAGAAATATTTGTAAAAAATCAATTTAACAAGAGGGCTAATAATTCTGATATCAACAATATATATATATATATATATATATATATATATATATATATATATATATATATATATATATATATATATATAGACAGACAGACAGACAGACAGACAGAACTATAAAATAATAATAATAATAATAATAATTTTGTTCGCAAATATATTGAACAAAATATGAAAATATATATTTAAAACATTTTATATATTTTTTTAATGGATTTATTATATATGCATATTATCCAATACATTACAATATTTAAGAAAGAAATTATCCAAAACTGTCCCAAAATAGCATTTTAAAAACAAAATGATGTACTTGCCTCTGCTGATATGCATTGTTCCTGCAGAAGTCACTGCGGCTGTGTGGTCTGGTAAAAACAGCCTGTATATCATAAACATACAGACAGAACTTCCTGTGTCAACATTTAGCCCCAATAGTTCCCCTTCTGCTTTACACTTTGCTGATCTAAACCCACATCCTGAAGCCTACAGTGCCATAACAGACCTCAACCTTTCTTTCTGCACATACCAAGTTCACATTAAAACAGTATACTGACTGAATATTTTAGGGCTTTTCAGCAAATCTTGCAGATGACAAAGACATTAGTAACATTATTATTAAACATCATTAACCTGAATAGAATTACTGGACAACAGCTTAATTACATTTATATTTAATAATTTACATTTTCTGTTAACATATTTCCGATATTTGATTAAGGTCGGCAATTTCTTGTAGTCAGAAGTATGTAGACTTTAACCCTGGGTCATTTTTAACCTTAACTAAACGTTATCCTAAAATTGCTTCAAGCTGGTCAAAATTAAACCAGGATAACTTCTAAATTCCTGCGTATTCATAATTGATGTTTCACATAGTATATATTCTTAAACCCTGAGTTGACTTGCTTTTTCGCATATTTGCCATGTCAGCGTCACTGACTGGAGGAGCAGCAGCACGTGTCCTGTTTACATAAAAACTCTAGCACGCAGTGTGTATTGCAGACTTGATAACAAAAGTTAAAATAAGTTGTTTCCTGAATTGACTTTTCAAATTATAAATGCAATAACGAAATGATTTTCTCTCAGAAAAAAACGTCCTTTTATTCTGAAAGACATTTCCCCCCACAAACGCTGAAGCCACTATTTTTGTTCAACAATTGTCTCTTGTGACTGCACGAGACTGTATGACGTTCATTCCTAAATTGAGGTAAAGTTGGTTTTAAATTTGCACATTCGTTCAGTGACAGCTCCATACATTGTTTACCATGGTACTTAAAATTTTCGGACTGAAATCACATGCAAGTATGACTTTAAAACATTAACGTTACCACTATTAAATTGACTGTAAACAATGTTGCACTTTGATGGTTGTTGGCTGCTAAAATGATTTCACTATTGAGAATTTGCACTGAATACTTTTCTGAAATTATATTATTAAGAAGAAATTCTGAATGTGCAAATATAAAACCAACTTTACCTTAATCATTCCTAACTAAGCATCTGTAACCATTTTCTTGTTAAACGTAAGAAAAAAGTTGAGATTGTACTTTTTGAGTTTTTAAGATGTCTTTTATGTTCTCGGAAGCTGGATTTATTCGATACTGCATTGTTTTACACTATAAATCTCAAGAGATGAATTTGGTAGTCCGCGGCTCGTTTCCATATGTAATGTGTTAGTGACATTAACCTGCAATTTCATACGTTTCACAAGCTATTGTCAATACAAAGTTATTCACCTAAAAGTGGGTGTAGTAATATCATGATGCAAGTTTAAATTTGAGAAATACTTACTTCTGAAAATGTTCCTTAAATGTAACCTAACAATATGTCATGGACATATGTTGATGGGTTTAAAGACTGATCCTCTTCCTCATTCCAGATTAACCTGTATCAACCTGCAAACAGCATAGCGCCAACACTTTAAAAAGGACTGAAAATCTCAATAAACCTGTAATATGAATCAAATTAAGTTTTACATTTAAATGTTGCTGATACAATTGACAAGCCACTACCTGTACATACTACTAGCCATCATCTGAGGTAAAAACAACAGAGGAAAGAGGCGGAAGTTGTGGAAGTAGTGCCCCCTGCTGCTGACAAATGCAAAAGTTTGCTCTAAACACAGCTAAAACAACCAATTTTCATTTACTGGTGAAATATAAGACATAAAGCATGGCCACCCCAATATGATCTTGCTGTTGATATTATAATTGAAATGTACTTGCGTAAATTCACAACATTTTAACAAATAAGTAAATAAATAGCAGCCCCAAAATTTGGGATTGATTGGTGCCACTGACGTAGCTAATTCACAGTCCCTACCCCTCTCCGACTGTGCTTGACAGCACGCACACACCTTCAAATGACAGCAATGGCAATGTAATATTTACCTTAAGGTACATCAATAGTATTAATAATGTATTAATAATATTGTGGCCCAAAAAGGAATATGGAAAAATAATATTATTAGGGTCTTTAAACCGAGTATATGTGTAATGATTTTTGTTCAGTTTGTTCATTTGTTTGTTTTATTAATTAATTGATTAATCTTCATTAATTTTAGACATGGCATATACTGTAAGCTGTGTTATAAAAGTATGTGAAAACTAACTGAAAAATTATATATATTTTTGACTATATATATATATATATATATATATATATATATATATATATATATATATATATATATATATATATATATATATACAGACATATATATATATATGTATGCATGTATATATATATATGCATGTATATATGTATATATGAAGTGTTTTTAAACTAAACAACTTGCTGAAACATTGCATGAATAATCTGCAACATTTCAACAGTGATTAATTAAATTAAAACCACAATATTTAATTTGCAAAAAACAAAACATATAACTAAATTGAATTTATTTATTTTTTTGTGTGCCACAAAAAAAATATTAGCCCCTTTATTTTTTCCCCTAATTTCTGTTTAACAAAGAGAAGATTTTTTTCAACACATTTCTAAACATAATAGTTTTAATAACTGATTTGTTTTATCTTTGTCATAATAACAGTAAATAACATTTGACTAGATATTTTTCAAGACACTTCTATACAGCTTAAAGTAACATTTAAAGGCTTTACTATAGTCATTAGGTTAACTAGGCAGGTTAGGGTAATTAGGCAAGTTATTGTATAACAGTGGTTTGTTCTGTAGACCATCGAAAAAAATATGTAGCTTAAAGGGGCTATATAAATATAATAAATATAAAGCTTAGATTTTGACCTAAAAATTGTTATTAAAAAATTAAAAACTGCTTTTATTCTTGCCGAAATAAAACAAATAAGACTTTCTCCAGAAGAAAGAATAATATTAGTCATACAGTAAAATGTCCTTGCCCTGTTAAACATTATTTGGGAAATATTTGAAAAAGGAGGGCAAATCATTCTGATTTCAATTATATACAGTACATGTGTCAACATCTCAAAGAATGGTTTTAGGGTTTTGTGACCCTTTAAATGTGCTCAGGACCAAAGACAAGCAACCAAAGATGATTTGTGGGATAAATTAAACTTTAATCTCACTTTAATCCCCTTCAAACGTCAAAATATAACAAGTACTGTGCAAAGTTTTAAACTGCAGGTAGTAGAACTGTAATCAACAATGAATCTGAATACAGCTGGTTAAAAGCAAACAGTACAAAACTGCTTTACATACATGCTATGACCTATGAGTGAACTGTTGGTAAAACTCTATTAAAAAATTGATACAAACAATGTAACATATCTCAAAGACCTAGTGCAAAGTAATCTGTTTTGTTACTTTTTGGCTACAAAAAATAATGTTTTGTTCATTTTCTCACCTTTATCATGTTGTTCCAAACCCGTTGTCATATATAAACACTTTAAATTTAGATGGCATGATTTTTGTGGAAAACTACTCCTTCAACATCAGCAAATTTTCAGAAAACATAGGCCTAGTTGAGCATCAGACTTTCAACATAAAGGACTAAATGACTCTGAAAACATAAACACAAACTTGTTTTGTCTGGTAGAACATCCTGAAGAAAAGTTACACTTAAAATGACACAACAGATAATAAGCATTAAACAATATGGTCAATTCTGTGAACTATAATTTAGAGCTTACATACATTGTGATATATTGACAGCGGACCACCATTAAATTGCTCCACCACGCTTCCTAATGGCAAATAGAGGAACTGCACACAAATAATGTATCATGGGTACCTTTCGGAACAACATGCTAGTGATACTGCCGAATATTTCGTATGCCTATAAGCATAGTATCCAAAACAAAGCCTTAAAATGCTACATTGAGTAATAATGCACGTTGTATGTTTGCAAGTCATTTAACAATGTGATTAAATAATGAGTCAAAGATGTTAAAAAGGGATGCACTGCATTGTGGGACATAGTGTTGAGTGCAGCGTTGCATACATTCAAAAGAATGGGGTCAGTAGTTTTAAAAAACTATCAAAATGACAGTAAATCTTTAACACTTTTAATTCTTTTTTGATTCTATTGAACATCCTGACTGTTTCACAATACAGGCTCATCACATCGATGACAAAAAAATAATCAAATTAGCATATTACAATTGTTTTCTGAAGGACTGCATGATAATGAAAACTGGAGTAATGACTACTGAAAATTCAGCTTTGCCATCACAGGACTAAATTACATTTACAAAAACATATTCACATAGAAAACAGCTACTTTAAATTCTGTATTTTGGAACAGATAAACACAGTTTTAGTGTTCTTAAGTTGTTTTTTGTTTCTAAAACAATCAACCCCAAACCTCTGAATGTGATTGTACATACAGCAGAAATCCTTGTATGCAGTTCCAAACACACCCGTGGATAATCCTCAACTATTATTCATAAATAAATCTCAATATAAACATGTAAAAAGCGACAACATATGGCAAACAATGATGAACACTATGTCTGAATAATGGCAAACCAAATCAGTAAATTCAATTTTAAATCAAAGTCACTTGCTCCTTCACTGACTGAAGCCCATCCTTCAAGTCCTTCATCATACTCCTGTTCAGATAAAATGTGCAAATGTTGTACCTTTATAGTGAAAACAACTTGCTACTAGTGCATTTCCAGCAAAGCAGCAGGTTTGGGGTTTCAAACCTAAAAACTTTATAGACCATTTTGAGAGATTTAAACAAAAACAATGGTCCCAACGTATTTCCTGTTTTACACTTTTAATTTCTATAGATTCCGAGAATCCAAAAAGAGCTCCATATTAATAAATAATGTTAAGATAGCTGTTTTAACATTAAGTTATTACACAGTTAACCATAGTTATGAAATAGTTTGATAACAAGCAGGAAATGTTAATGGGTCAATGACATGACCACCTTGAAATGATCGATTATAATACCCTTAGAATGCATATTTTTAACGTGGACATTTTAAGTTAAGCGTGGATATTATCCCTCTGAAGCAGTGGACAGGCGAGAAAGCAAGTAGACCTCAGTGCTGACACTCAAACTATAGAGTACATCGATTTACAATACATGATTAAATAACAAGCAAAACAGCATTATTGAATTTTAGATGAAATAGAAAACGGTCAAAAATGAGCCAATAATAAAAATGTACAAAGGTCTCAAATTCAGAGATTGTTTTAAAGAGACATCAAACAATGCCAAGTATTTGTGGACAGTAGACAAGCAGCTTATGGTCCATGTATTTGTTCAGGCCAAACCATAGATAAATCACATATACTTAATTTTACACATTGTGCTCGTAGCACACAGATCTTGAGGTAAAATTCATAGACACACTGAAGTTTACTACGCTAAAATGACAAGTGATTGGAGGAATTAAGCTTTTTAAAGCTTCCAACCAATTGCTTTGCAAAATGATTCACTGTTTCAAAGTGTTTGCTTTGTGCCACCCATTAACTTTCACTATGGAAGGCGATGTTTCCCAGCAACCAACATTCTTCAAAAAATCTCTATTGTGTTCAACAAAAGAAGGAAACTCATGAAGGTTTAAAACCACATGAGGGAGAATAAACTATGAGGCAATTTTCATATTTGGGTGAAATATCCCTATTTGTGTCTGCATAATATTTGGTAATAGTACAACAAGAGACTAGTGACAAATATTATTACTTTTCTTTTTTACAAATGTCTCATTAAAACAGCTAAAAACTCATAAACTGATCTGAGATCAGGTAAAATCTATAAAACCTGTTCAGTAATTCGCCACATTTTGAAGGCAGCCATCACTAACAGCTACAAGACATCTAGTCTCAAACGGTGACATGATGATGGTGATGTGATATTGTTCAACATTATTTGAAAACTTTGAGAGTAGTTTGTAGTGAAAGATATAGGGGTGAGCAGCTTGATCCTAAAGTATCAATATTTTCGATACTGGCAATGTATCAAAATGATCGATTCTTAAATAGAAGTATCCTCCCTATTTTAAGTGATCACAGATTTAAATATCTAAATAATAGTAATCAAGACAGTGCTGCATGGTATATAAATATTTTCTTAAATAGAAACAGAAATGGGAACTACGCCGCATCTCCGCTAATGGGTCAGTATTTGCTCACAGCCTCACACTTTCAAAGCACAATACACACACTCAGCGTAAATTTAAAACTCGAGCACGGGGCTGCGGCCATTATGACTGAATGAAATAGAAGTATAATCTGGAGCTATTTTACTCCAGTTAATAATGACGAGGTTGCGTGTGATACTTGTCACAAAACCATACGCCACTGATCAAAGAAAAGCAGGCCTAAAAGGAGAGTGTTAACAGTCATTTGTTTCATTTAAAAAAAAGTTAAAGGGAAGAAGTGGCTTCTTTTTTTTTATTAAACAATGTTTGTGCAATGTTTTATTTATTTTTTGTTATATATGGTGTTATATAGCAAGTTTTTTATTAAATAATAACATTTTGTTATTTTAATACATGTAAAAAAAAGAATTATGTCTATTTTATTTAATAATGATACTGAAAGTGATTTTAAAAAACATTATAAAATCACTATAACATATTTATTTGAAGTATCAATATCGATATTGGGCATCACTGTGGCGCAGTGGGCAGCATGATCGCCTCACAGCAAGCTGGTTTAAGCCCCGGCTGGGTCAGTTAGCATTTCTGTGTGGGTTTTCCTCAGGGTGCTCCGGTTTCCCCGACAAGTCCAAAGACATGTAGTACAGGTGAATTGGGTAGGCTAAATTGTCCATAGTGTATGAGTATGTGTGTGTGTGTGTGTGACATATATTTTGTCAAAACAAACTTTTATATTGGATGCGATAAATCTTTGCCCAGCTATAATATTTTGTGAAAACATATTAGTGCAATTAGATTTTTCAGTTTAGTTCTCATTTACATGAAGACTATAAACAATTATTCATGTTTATATTGTTGTTTAGAGCATTTAGTATTTGCATATAAAAACCAAAAATGTGACATTTTTAGAAGTTTATGGTTTAACTGTATCTTGGTGGAATAACCCTGATTTTTAGTCACAACTACAGTCAGAACTGCTGCATTTCTCTGGATTTCTATATTTTATATTTGAAATTTGGAAGAAATGTGACTGACAGCGCGGTGGCTCAGTGGTTATCACTCTCACCTCACAGCAAGATGCTGGTTTAAGTCCCAGCTGAGTCAGTTGGCATTTCTGTGTGGAGTTTGCATGTGCTGGCGTGGGTTTCCTCCAGGTGTTCCGGTTTCCACCACAGTCCAAAGACATGCGGTACAGGTGAATTGGGTAAGCTAAATTATTCGTAGTGTATTTGTGTGAATGGGAATGTGTGGGTGTTTCCCAGTGATAGATTGCGGCTGGAAGGGCAACTGCTATGTAAAACATATGGATAAGTTGGCGGTTCATTCTGCTGTGGTGACCCCAGATTAATAAAAGTTCTAACCGAAAAGAAAGTGAATGAATAAATGTGTATTGACAATACTAGTCTTGAAATACTTGGTCTCGGATTAGAAAGAAAATAATTGGTATCGCCCATCCCAAGTGAAAGACAATGCCCTCATCTACCAGGATCTTATTACTTCTTACTCATTTCGTACATGTGTTTACAATGCAGTGTTTACTACAGTTGAAGCCAGAATTGTTAGCTCCCCTGAATTATTGGCCCACCTGTTTATTTTTTCCCTCAACTTCTGTTTAACAGAAAGATTTTTTCAACACATTTCTAAACATAATAGTTTTAATAATTAATTTCTAATAACTGATTTATTTTATCTTTGCCATGATGACAGTACAGAATATTTTACTGGATATTTTTCCAGACACTTCTATACAGCTTAAAGTGACATTTAAAGGCTTAACTAGGTAGGTTAGGATAATTAGGCAAGTTACTGTATAACGATGGTTTGTTCTGTAGACTATCGAAAAAATATATAGCTTAAAGGGGCTAATAATTTTGACCTTAAAATGGCTTTTAAAAAATTAAAAACTGCTTTTATTCTAGCTGACATAAAACACATAAGACTTTCTCCAGAACATAAAATATTATCAGACATACCGTAATAATGTTCTTGCTCTGTTAAACATCATTTGGGATATTTTTTAAAAAATGAAAAAAAATTGGGGGGGGGGAGGGGGGGGGCTAATAATTCTGACTTAAACTGTATATTATTTCCTACAAATACCAATGCTGTGTCTGAATTGATTGTATGGTCCAGCCGTCAACCAAAGTCGCTCCACTGCTCTGAGGGACTAATATCCACCCATCAAAAGCGACATTTACAGAGAACTGGTCCAACGAGACGCTGTTTCCAAAAAATACAGTTTTTGCACATTTTTCTTTTGTTGACAGTGAAGGAGAGCCTTCATTTCACATCTGACATTTTGGAAAGAAGTTGCCCTGAGTAAAGTAACAACATCCTGTGACCATATATTAGTGTATCCACTTACAATCAAACACTAACATACCTTCATCCAGCATCAGTAGAAAACCCCTTATCAACTCAAATTGACAAGAAAAGAGGCTGATGTTCACTGACTTCCTACTACAGGGCCTGAATCTGAGGGAAGGAGGGGATGAGATTTGAGTCTTTTCTGTGAAAGAAAGAGGCCGTTAAGACGGTATTTAAAAAAGGAAAACCATCCATCCATCCTTCCATCTTCTTCATGTTGGCAGGTGAAGCCACCGACTGGCAACTACAAATCCATTAGAGCTGAAGGAGCCAATCAAAAGTCACTGAGGATGCTGATGTCAGCAAACTCCTGGCGGTAGCGGTAGGAGTACAGGCCCAGCAGAAAAGCCCATTTCAGAGTCATGAAACTCCACACGGCTGACAGGTAGAAGCTCTTAGGGTCAGATAATGCTGGAAAACATACAGAACGTGTTACGCATTGCACATGATAACACACTTTAAAGGGATAATTCACCCAAAAAAAATTAATTTTACTCTATTTATTCACCCTCAAGGGGTTCCAAACCTTTATGGGTTTCTGTTGAACACAAAAGAAGATATTTTGATGTATGATGGAAACCTGTAACCATTGATTTTACATAAACAAATACTATGGAAGTCAATGATCATATTTCTAGCCCTCAAAATGATCTTCTTTGTGTTCAACAGATAAGGTCAAGTAAAGGGTAAGTAAATGATGATAGAATGTTCAGTTTTAAGTGAGCTATCCCTTTAAAAATGCCATTATAATTCACAGAAGTATATTTCCGTCAATGTCAAAGTACTCACACTGCTTTTCTATAACCGATAAAGTTATGAAAGTGGCGAAAGCAGCGACAGCTAAGAGGGAGAAGACCGAGCTGACAAACATGAAGAACTTGAGTCCCTTCAGCCATGTGCGCCAGTAGTCCTGAATGTACATGATGTGGGTGACCAAAGCCCAGAGCGCCAGGACTCCTGTAGATTTAAATATAGCATAAACACAGACTGTAAGTTTAATAAAGTAGCCATCTATCAACTGATTGAGGAAAAGAAAGTGTTTTTGCATGTTATGGTTTAATTTTCCATGACTTAATGTTATATTATTGGGTTCAGCATAAAAATTTGCCAGTAAAATAAAATCAAATAGTATGAACAAACATACTGTAGCTTTTTTTTTATAATTGGCATGGAATTATTGAAATACTCATTATTATACTTAATATTTATACACTATAGGTCAAGAGTTTGGGGTCAGTAGGATTTTTAAATGTTATAAAAAAAGCTTCTCCTGCTCACCAAGGCTGCATTTACTTCATCAAAAATACAGTACAAATTCTAAAATTGTGAAATGTTATTGCACTATAAAATAACTGCTCAAAAGTAGTTTATCATTTAATTTAATCATTTATTACAGTAATTTTAAAGATGAATTTTCAGCTTTATTACTCCAGTTTTCAAAGTCACATGATCTTTCAGAAATCACTCTAATATTAATTATATTATTATTATTAATGATAATAGTAATAAAAGCAGTAATGACCGGAATAATAATTTCATTTGGAACTACATACTTTAAGAAAGCAGTTATTTGAAATTTTTATAAATATTTAACAATTTAACATATTTTTTACATTTAATAAATGTTGCCTTGATGAACTGAATAATTTCATTAAAAACATGAAACATAAAAAAAATAAATAAATAAATAAAACTGGGCCCAGTAAGGACAGGTCAAAATACTTTTGTTTTTCACACAAACATATCTGTTACACTGAATGAAAATGAACATTACCATTAAATTCAGACATTTTGTTTTCTTAAATGTTATTTGAAACATCAAAGTAGACACTTTAATATTTATGTAATATCACTTGTAAATTTATTCACGTTGTCCTTGACCTATGTATGCTTATTTCTTCCTCTAAGTCAATCTAAAATAATCATATATCGGCATATTTACAAAAACTACATACACACACACAGGGTTTTTTATATATATATCATTAAAGACCAACTATGCATTGCAGACTGTGTCTTATACACAAAGTGACAGCTGCAGATTTTTATTAAGTTCAGCATAACAATTTTTTACTAAAATAAAATCAAAAGGCATACACAAACATAGCTTATTTGATTAGTTGACATGAAACTATTTAAATACTTAATTATTATACTTCATATATATATATATATATATATATATATATATATATATATATATATATATATATATATATATATAGATATATACATTTGATACACGCACACAACAAACATATACAGTAGGTGAAACTATTGTGCAATAAAACTAGGATTATGTCCTGATTACATGATTACACTGAGCAAAAATGGTTACTAATATACACAATTTATAGAAGACACTTACTGAAAAGTCAAATTGTTAAACAGAAACTAATTAAAGGATTACGTGATTTAATGATCACAGTGAAGCCACAAAATATTTTTCATATAGTATCCTTTACAACACCACTAGGACTTTTATTCTATTCTATTCTATTCTCTCTCTCTCTCTCTCTCTCTCTCTCTCTCTCTCTCTCTTTCTCTCTCTCTCTCTCTCTCTATATATATATATATATATATATATATATATATATATATATATATATGAAGAATTCAGACGTAAAAACCTCTAACTCCAATCAGAAAATGTATTCTAAATAACATTAATCTTAGGTCTCCATGTTTTGATTCAGTAATTTCACTTTTATGGCAAAAAATTGGTTATTTTTAGCAATTTTAACATGAAATAACTGAACATAAACATAAGAGGCAGAGAAAATGCTCAATGTAGAAGAAAATTCTAGATGGCACTTGGAGGCTTTTGCATCTGAACTCTTCATATAAATGTCAGAATAAGTTACATTTTTTACACAAACATATATTGTACATTGAATGAAAATGAACATTACCAATAAAAATTGGGACATTTTGTTTTCTTAAAAGTCATTCGAAAAATCAAAGTAGACACTTTAATATTTAAGTAAATTTAAGTAATATGACTTGTAAATTTGTAAATGCGGACGCCCTGTCCTAGACCCATGCAAACATGTTTATTTATTCCTCTCTATCGATCTAAAATGATCATATTCTTATATATAAGTAACCTTAACATATTTTTATATATGCTATAAAGACTAACCTTAAACTGCAGACTGTGTGGCTTAATGTTTGTATACAAAGTGACACCCGCAGATCCTGCCGACCGCAATATCACACAAACCATACAACAACAACAAAGTATAAATAAATCATGTCAGCTAAAGAAACAGGATGTGAAATCTTTATATTTAACAGCAGATGTGTAAAGTCAGTGACTGTGTGGCCTTGAGTTTATTTCCAGACCTGATAATCCGCCCATCGCCGCCGTCCAGGGCTGTTTATAAACCACATTCCACACGATAAACGCCGAAAACCCCACCAGCATCCCGAACGTGGAATATCCAACACTGATGTAGATCCTGTTTGGACCCATTGATAATGTATAAAGTACCGAAGTAAAGACCGCTGTGAAAAAGGAGAAGGATTACACCATCGATGAGGGATTATGTAATGCAGACCCGCTATTTCGTAAACACGACTGCACGACCCGGAAGAGCTCTGCCGTATCACCATAGCAATAGTCAACAACCTTGTAAAAGCAGATGTTCGCACGATCACATCATCCACATTTTATTATATGTAATTACCTACTTTCTTGGAGATGCAGCAGTAGGTTAATCTGCCATTCGCGAGTCTATGGTGCAGAGAAATCTCCTTAGATCTTTTTGGATAATTGTGCATTCAGAAGTTAATGTCCAATACTCCAAATACGTCCTTATACAGAGCTCACATTGTTGTTTCAGATGAAATATAACACGGAACACGTACTTACATATGTTCCAATAGGGTAGATATTAATTAATAGTCATTCAAACAACTTTACCTAAGGCTCTTTACGTGACGGTTGTTCTCTCGCGTCCGCCATGTTTGTAGTTTGTTTACACTTTTTACTCAAGTTTGTAGTTCTAATCGAATTCACGTCAAGTATTTATACACTTCTTATAAATACTATTTGGGAAGGATAGTATGCGAATTGGGACGCAGCAATATACACATATTATATTATATTATATTATATTATATTATATTATATTATATTATATTATATTATATTATATTATATTATATTAATTATATTATATTATATTATTATATAATACTATATTGTTTTATATTATATTAATTATATTATATTATATTATATTATATTATATTATATTATATTATATTATATTATATTATATTATATTATGTGTTGAACCATATATATTTATGCAGGTTACGCATATTTCCAGCTTTGGAAATTACAAGAGGTTGCTTCAAAGTTATTATTTGTTCTCTGGATTTGCAATAAATCAGGTATTTGTGTTGAACAAAATGCTGAATTTTTGATAAACTGCTGATATAATGTCTTTAAAATCTGAAATATTATTATTATCACCAAAAAATAAATACATAAAAAACTTGAGTGTGTGTGCATGCATGCAAGTCTGAAAACGTAATTATTTCAGAACCAAATAGCTTTGAAGTGCTTCCTTGATTTTTTTCAGCGTTATCACACACACACACACACACACACACACACACACACACACGCACACACACACACACAAAATGGAGGATGATCAAAACAAACATAAAATATTCATGCGTAATATGTAAGATACTTTTTTGCTACTATATATTTAAGACTGCAAACCACAAAAAAAATTATCTTTTTGCACTTTATCAAATAAAATAATCCATGAACTCATCTTTCAAGAAATGACTCCTAATTACTATAGTTTTATAATTAATTGCTTAGTCTTTACTGTTTGTCCAATCATCTGTGCAGTCTTGTTCATTTTTTGTTGTTGTTGCAACATTTAATAAAACAATTCACAGCAGAACAAAGACTCGGGTGTCACAGTGGGTAGCACGATTACCTCACAGCAAGAATTTAGCTGGTTCGAGCCCCGGCTGGGTCTGTTGGCATTTCTGTGTGGAGTTTGCATGTTTTCCCAGTGTTCATGTGGGTTTCCTCCGGATGCTCCGGATAAATTTGTGGTTCATTCTACTGTGGAGACCCCTGATTAATAAAGGGACTAAGCCGAAAAGAAAATGAATAGATGAATGAATTACAGCGACTAAATATAGGTTATCAAAAATGAAATATATTAAAAAGTATAAGAAAAAAATTACAGTTTTTTCCAATTGTTTACACACATTTTCTGAAAGCAGGTCTCATATTGTCAGAACTCTACACACAAATCACAAAACACACACACATTGGGCAAAACTCTTCAATTCTTCTGCAAAATGAAACTCTACGCTCAAAACAATGTGATTTCTTCGCAAAATGGTCTTTTGTTTTCAAATGACACACACAAGCCATCACATCAATAGACATTCATAAGATCAGTTAAACACTGATGTGCTGAATGTAAAACACTCTGACCACTTCTTCTTCACTCATCATTATGACTTTCTGTAAGCCTTTTTTTCAGTGTTACACTTTACTACAGACAGCAGGCCTACAGAAGTGCATTGTAAAATATTATGCAAAACAAACAATTACCAAATATATTTTACTGTATTTTCCCCACAAATACAGTGTACACAGTGTTCATCCCAACCAACACAAAGTTGCAGAAATCGTGGTCTACATATGCCATCAACAGAAGTATTTACTGTATACAGTCACAGTATAAATTTTTTTTTTTATAAAAAAACAGCTATACTGCATCCTCTTTTCTGTTTTGGTCTGGCCAAGCAGTGGGGGAAATGTCACTTTGCATGGCGAATCCCATAGATATATACACTAGATATCGCATAGGGAACCTGAGCATGCATCAATAGCGCCGCCACATTGGTACAGTGCTCCCAGGACAAATGTCATTCAACCGCACTAGTCAAGTCAGTGTTATTACGTGAAGATGCGGGACTTTAGCGCTGTCTACCGGTGTAGAAACGAGCAAACAAAGAAATCAAAGCACAAAGGCAGAACATTTCATGGGTCATATTAAGTTTTTTTCTGTTTTTGTATGTTCTGAACTTTTGTGCTAATCAGGTAACGTTATTGATGATAACAGTCACTTACTGCATTCACCATAAGACAAAGAAGCTCCAACTCGCACTCCAACTAAACACTCGGCTTATGCTAGTTTTGTTGAATAAAATCAGCAAACAATGCAAAAGAAATATGACAACGAGATGCTGCGCTGCCAGAAACTTGTATTATTGTCGGCTAACGTTAGTGAAAGAGTCGTTCGGGGGATTCATTCACAAACGAATCGCTCCCTCCGTCAGTATGAGAAGTGAAAGCAGGAGAGGAGCTGTGTTTCAGGACATGATTAGATCAAATTTAACAGAGAGGGTGAATAGTACATTTCTGTACACACAAACACAAGCTTTTTGTCAGGAATGCCGGTGCGGTCACTGATCCATCAATGTAGAAAAGTGATGTAAAATTATAATTTTCGTAATTAGAAAAAAAAATTACATACTAACATCCAGGAAAACTCCCGATCATAGATATATGTGTATATGTGTATATCTCTGGCTTTGGATGGCCACAGTCCTCCACTGTACTTTGGTCCCGCATTCATTTCAAAGGAGCGCTACCCTGTAGCAAGATGGCGGCGCTATTGACGCATTCCGTCCAATAGACAACAATAGGCCAGGCGACATCTAGTGTATATATCTATGGGCGAATCCAGCCACGAAAAGCATCAACTGCTATAGCTTGGAGAAGGGGTATACGTGTGTGTGGATTTCGGTCATACACTTTACATCTCCAGGCAGAAAAAAAAAAATCCTCGATAGGTTTGAGGAATATGGAGAATATGGAGGGGGAGATAAACAACTAAAAAACATGGGTGGGCAGTAAACTAGTTGTGAACCAGATGAGCCCTGATTTCTAAATTGCAATTCTGTGTGACAGGTGTTTACCTATGTGAAGAGTTAGCATGCAAAGTAGGACAACTGACTTTACAACTATGAATGACAGTGTGTTCCTTGCGAAACAAAAGATTTTCTGCATGAAAATTGTGCAAAATGCAGAGAATTGTGTGTAGTGTTTTGAAAAAAGTGTGTTTTAAACCTGCAATTTGAGTGTAAAGCAGGAACTGTGCTTGTAGTTTAGCAGAATTGATTCAGGGGGTTGGTGCATCAGTTACATGTTGTAGTCATTGTGTCTGAAGTACAGGTAATTGTGTGTAAACAATTGGAAAAAAATGTAAATCAACAAGTTTTCTCTTTGAAAAAAGAAGTAAAAAAGTCTTTCTATAGCACTTATACATTGTTGACTGTGTCAAAACAGCTTTACATAAAAAGCCATCAAATTTCAGATTGTGGAAAATAAGTCAATTTAAAGCAAAGGAGACGTGTTTAGAAATATTGATTTATTTTCCAACACATGTTGTGTAAACACATAAATGTATATTTCCTATTGTAGATCAGTGGCTACAGTCATGTCGTAGTGTCGCATGTTTCCCATGTCGTTTGTGTGATGGTGGTGTTAATCTACTTGATCTTCTCTCAGTGGTTTTCTATCGTGCTCTGAAACTCATGCTCAAAGTAGTAATTGTACAAGAAAAAAAATGTCCTCAATAGCAAAAGCAGGTTGTAAAACTCTCTGTGATCATCTCTGATTACACCTTAAACTACCGGAGATCACGCCTGACATCATTCACAAATCCTTGCAACCTACCCACTAGATTTAATGTTATGAATATTCAATTAATTCACTAACAACCATTATATTATATTATTTTATTTAATTTTATTGTCGGCTTAGTCCCTTTATTAATACGGGGTCGCCACAGCGGAATGAACCGCCAACTTATTCAGCAAATTTTTATGCAGCGGATGCCCTTCCAGCCACAACCCATGTTTGGGAAACATCCACACACACATTCACACACACACTCATACACTACGGACAATTTAGCCTACCCAATTCACCTGTACCGCATGTCTTTGGACTGTGGGGGAAACTGGAGCACCCGAAGGAAATCCACACGAAGGCAGGGAGAACATGCAAACTCCACACAGAAACGCCAACTGAGCCGAGGTTCGAATCAGCGACCCAGCGACCTTCTTGCTGTGAGGCGACAGCACTACCTACTGGGCCACTGCCTCGCTCTATTTTCTATTTTATTCTATTCTATTCTATTCTATTCTATTCTATTCTATTCTATTCTATTTCACAAATATTGATTAATGTGTGATAATGCGGACTTTTGAACACATACACTTAATGCACAAATACTCATACATCACCTACATACTATAACTGCATGTTAACTACATTTATATATATAACTACTTTAACTGATAAAGTTATTAGTAATTAGTTACTAGTTAAGTGAAGTTTAAAATTAAACTTATTTCGAGAGGTGCACATGACTGACCCTACTGGCCCACATTATCTAAGCACAATCCCCCAATCAAAGGATCCCAAGTAATTATATATATGTATATATATGATGGCGACTCAGTGGCGCAGTGGGTAGCACGTTCGCCTCACAGCAAGAAGGTCGCTGGGTCGCTGGTTCGAGCCTTGGCTCAATTGGCATTTCTGTGTGGAGTTTGCATGTTCTCCTGCCTTCGTGTGGGTTTCCTCCGGGTGCTCTGGTTTCCCCCACATTCCCCCCACAGGTGAATTGGGCTGGCGTAGTGTATGAGTGTGTGTGTATGAATCTCCCCCAGAGATGGGTTGCGGCTGGAAGGGCATCCGCTGCGTAAAAACTAGCTGGATAAGTTGGCGGTTCATTCCGCTGTGGCGACCCCGGATTAATAAAGGTACTAAGCCGACAAGAAAATGAATGAATGAATATATATATATATAGATCCTTTCATTGGGATCCTGGCTGGGCCATCTGGTATTTCCTGGCTGGGCCATCTGGTATTTCTGTGCAGAGTTTGCATATTCTCCCCGTGTCCGTGTGTGTGTGTTTTTTATTTTATTTTTTACTCTCAGGAAGTTCACCTTAGCCTCAGCAATGGGGGAGTTTTGAGATCGACCTGAGCACAATCTACCCTCTCACTGCAAAAGGGAGGGAGCCCAGGGCCCAAGGATCCCTTGAGCTAGGGGTTCTCTTCCTGGACAGCATGCCAAACAAGCTATGTTTAAATCATGAGCTAAGTATGAATTCCTGAATTAGTAAAAGTTATTCACAACTAATACAGTTATAGTAACTAACTTTTCAGATTTTTTTTTTACTTAAAAAAGTGAGAAACCTGTTGTAACTTGGAACTGTTAAGATGATTTTTCTTCGGTTTAGTCCTTTTATTTATCAGAATTTGCCACGGTGGAATGAACCACCAACTTATCCAGTTAATTTTTTACACAGCGGATGCCCTTCCAGCTGCAACCCAATACTGGAAAATACACACACACACACACACACACACACACACACACACATTACGGACAATTTAGTTAATCCAATTCACCTATAGCACATGTCTTTGGACTGTGGGGAAAACCGGAGCACCCAGAGGAAACCCACGCAAACACAGGGAGAACATGCAAACTCCACACAGAAATCCCCAGCCAGAGATCGAACCAGCACAAATTTAATTTACTTAGTATTTTAAGGCAACAGATTTATATACCTTTTTTATTAAATCCAACAATTATTTAGATTTCAGGGGGACTTTAATCCCTAAACATGTGTATTTGGCAAGAAATATATTTGTGTAAACAGACTGAAAGTCCAGATGAGAGTGAAATCAGGGGCCACAGATGTACCTTGGCCCCATTTCCGCTAATCACTGCTGAGAACACACATACTATGGGTTTGACTTCTAATTCAGGGAAATGGGTGACAGCAAATGTCATCAAGCTTCAAGACACACCTTCACGGAATGAAGAGCCACATTTAGTGCCACCAATCAGAGTGCAACAGGAAGCCGGTAACTCGCGTGGCTTCAGATAAGATGCAAAAGTGAGCGGTTTCCTCTGTCTCAGACAACACAGAGAGACAAAAAGAGATGCAGCCTGAGATATAAACACACACAGTCATACAGAGATAGTTGTGTCGCAAGACTCTGGAATATTTTATGAGTAGCTTAAAGACAAGAAAGACAAGACTGTCCTGATTGGCATTAAAGAAAACTATTTGGAAAAAAGAAAACGCTGCCAACTCCTTGTATACCAGACATACCGGTAAGTGTGTTTGTGAAGTTATCATTGACAGATGCAGCCATATTTACTGAGGGTTGAACTTGAGAAAACAAAAGCAATATATGTGGACATGCTGTGATTTCTGCCTGATAAGATCCTGAAAATGACATTAAGTGTTAGATGACTTGTAATACACTTAAAAACCGTTTGAGGAAACCGATTGCAAAAAAACATTTAAGTTAAAATCTAATCCTAATGAGTAGTGTGAACGTAATCCATTTGAGTAAACAAAGCAATTTGAGAACAGTAAAACCCAATAAATGAAGAGAACTCAAACCAGTTGAGTACTGTAAAACCCAATAGGTTAAGTCAACTCAATCCGTTTGAGGAAACCAACTGCATAATCTATATGAGTACTGTGAACTTACTCCATTTAAGTTGAAGTAAAGAGGTATTTAATTAACTCATTATCGAAGAGTTCAAAACTCTTTTGAAATGAGTAGAACTAACTTTCAGTAAATTTTGAGTTAATTACACTCATTTCATTGGAACAAGTTGACTGTTGGGTTTTACAGTGTAGTAATGTCATTACTACACAAATTAAATCATTTACTAAAACTTTTGAACAGTATTTGAACTCTTTTGACGTATCTTAACTCTCGAAATGAACTGAAATTCCAGAGCTGTGTTTATAAGTTGTGTCAATAATGTCACTAGATAATAATTAGATTATTAGAAATTATTTTTCACTTGTATTTTTTGCCAATATTTAAGCAAAATAAATACATTACAGAGCTATTTCACCTCACCTGATTGTGAAAATGACTTGTTAAATATTTTCCTATAAATAATTTCACTGTAAATTCAGATTTTTCTTTTGTTTTATAATTTAAAATACATTTGTAATATTATTGGCAATATTTAAACAAAAGAAATAAATTGCAGAGCTATTTTACTTCACCTGATTGTGAAAACGACTGTTGTCAATTTTTTTTCTATAAATAATCTCACTGAAATCTGTTATTATTTATTTTTATTTATTATTTAAAATATATTTGTAATATTTTTAGCAATATTTAAACAAAATAAATAAAGTACAGAGCTATTTCATCTCACCTGGTTGTGAAAATGACTGTTGTTAAATATTTTCCTATAAATAATTTCACTGTGAATTCAGATTTTTGTTTTGTTTTATAATTTAAAATACATTTGTAATATTATTGGCAATATTTAAACAAAAGAAATAAATTGCAGAGCTATTTTACTTCACCTGAATGTGAAAACGACTGTTGTCAAATTATTTTCTATAAATAATCTCACTGAAATCTGTTATTTTTTATTTTGATTTATTATTTAAAATATATTTGTAATATTTTTGGCAATATTTAAACAGAATAAATAAAGTACAGAGCTATTTCACCTCACCTGATTGTGAAAATGACTGCTGTTAAATATTTTTCTATAAACAATTTAACTGTAATCTGATATTTTTATTTTGTTTAAATGTTTAAAATTTATTTTTAATATTTCTGACAAGTTATTTTTAGTAGGTAAAATTAAAGATGTTTTAATTCACAGAGATACTTCTGGACAGTTTCTTTTGTTGTATAGTTTTATATAGCATAGTCCTAATATCACTATTATAAACTGGATATAGATTGGATTTTAAAACAATTTGCAACACAAATTTCCATAAAATAAATTTAATTTCATTAACATTCGCAGATTGGTCTGATCCTAAACTTGCTAAATAATTATTATTAATAAATCAACTAAAATACTCAAAATATAATTCAACATTATTTAAAATGCTTTGTAAAAAATAAATAAATAAATAAATATAAATACAAATATATTTCTACCTGATCCTGAAAATAATTTTTCTTAGAATGTAATTATAAATAATTTAACATAAAATAATAATAAGTTAATTAATTATTGTTAATTACTTTTTACCAATATTTCAATCAAAACAACTTATATATACACCACATTTTAGTTTACCTGTCTATAAAAACAAACAAAAAAGTTAAGAAATAAAAAAAGAAGATGGTATTTGCATACATTGTTGTAACCAGCATTATTTCTGAAAACTCCAAAAGCCTAACAGTAGCTGTTAGAAAACATTTCAGCTTCACATTGGCAACATGAGGTCCAGAAATGTGCATTTAATCATCTTTAGTGACATCAGCGCACAAAAATTCTCAGATAACAGTGGGAAATTCTGAAGGCCCGTTATTCAGTGATGCTGGGAAAGTTACTATAGTGGGTGCTTGTGAAGTAAACTGTGAACATGCTAAAGCCCCCAGATAGCATGCAGGAAGTTACAGGCGATTTGATGTGGTTGAGAAGGTGTGCAATTAGAAAAAAACAAAATCAAAAAACATCTACAACTCCCTCCCAATGCTTTCATCGCTTCATATTTCGCTGGACTTCCAATATAAACAATATTTCCTTCCTCTGGTTGCACTGAGATGGCATGGGAAGGAAAGAGCGTTCTGGAATGACAGGATTTATGAGGATGTATAAATCACACTGTGTTCTGGAGCTACAGACAGACGGGCAAGAAAAAGAAACTTCTTCTTTTGCAAGTGTAGAGCTTGAGATTTAAATATACGGGGCATTTATCTTTGCAATTTTGTTGCATCTAAAATTGGGACATTGGCATGTTGACATTGGGAGTCAACAAAGAGATAAATGCTGATTTCAGAAGCTGTGATTTGTTGCAGGAAGTCCTACACCCTTTCCCATAGGAATCATGCGCTTACTTTCGCTTTGAGCTTGTGTGGAGGTTTTGGTTGAAATGTTGAATTGGTGTGCCAGTTGAAATTAGTTATTTGTGGATTTTGTGGGTTTTTATGGAAAGCTTTTTTGCTGAACATGTTTACAAAAGAGTATGCCTCTCCAATTGATTGATTATATTAAAAACTGCAAACATTTTTTGGTATGACTTCTTTTTAAATTATAGTTTTACGTATTACGTAATTTATTATTACGTAATTTCAAAATGATCGTTTTTTTTAACCTTTTATTTTTTTGTTTACATCAAAAAGGTTTTAAGAAGGGAAAACCTTATATAGATAAACCTTATATACATACATATATACATACATATATGCATACATATATACATATATATATATATATATATATATATATATATATATATATATATATATATATATATACTGTATATATATATATGTGTGTGTGTGTGTGTGTGTATATAAAGTTAAATTGTTTAACATAATCAGGCAAAACATTCAGAATGCAGATGTGAATTAAACGTGAAAGCTGCTGAAATGGAGATTTATATCTTTGTGCAGGAGAAAAATCTCATATTGAGTAAATGGCTTTAAAATGTGCATTGCAATTATACAAACACAAATTGATAGAGTGTATTTTTGATGCTTTATAACAATTAGACTGGGGAAAAGTATGGTACAATAAGCTAAATAGCCTAAAATGTTAAAAAGAAAAAGTGCACAAAATGAAGTAAATAGTGCCTTAATAGTGTACTAGCTATAAACACACACTAGAGGGCAAGCTATGTTCTTTTAGGGCACCTTTGCTCACACTTTCAGTTTTGAATTTCAACAAACCCATTACCCAGAGTATGAAATATAAACATATAACTTATAACTGCCATGCTACCAATGAGTATGAAAACGTACATTAAATAAGCTGCTTTTAAAGCATTTTTGTATGACATAAATCAAATGTATGAAAAAAAAATTTAAGAAAGGAAACTTATTTATGGCCAGAAACGTGAGACTTATAGAGCCACGCAGAATAACTAGGTGCTTGAGCAACATCCAAACAACCATCTGATTAAGCCGCTTAAAACAAGAATAATGTTTTTTTTTTAATAAATAAATACGTTTATTACTTGTGAAATTCAGTAATACATTCATTAAAATTTGAAACACAAAATAATGATACTTAAGTTAAAATATACTAATATAAAATAAATATACACTGTATAATTATATTATACCCTGCCCGTCTAACAAAAATTAATTGATAAAAATCACCACTTGGATTTAACTAAACAAATAGGCAAGAGCCTCCCAATGGATACTTATGGCATAAACGATTATGTTTCAGTAACAATTTATTTATGCCTAACTGATGCAGAGGGTAGCTTATCTTTTTTTTAAACAACCATGTCAGAAGACATATCCTGTGGTTGTTGAAAAAGATGTTAATCTGTTTCAGAAGTGCCAAATTATGGCCTATGTCTAAGCAGATATCTGAAACTACAAAAATCAGGTTTAGAACTTTCCAGCACATTATATAAAAACTGGATGGAAAGTGGGGAATCATCATCTTTAAGGAGTAAATGTGGTTAGAATAAAATAAAGAATGTTCAATTACAAAAGTCACGTATCGCTTTCAGTTTCGGGCTTTGGCGCGTTTTGCACTCACACACAAGCGTACCGCGCCAAAGCCCAAGTGATCCGCGCTCAGGCACACCTCTTCCAACCGGGCCAGGGCCGGCCAAGTGAACCGTGCTTGAGCCCGATTCAGCGCACTCACACTTCTCAAACGATCCCGGAAACGGGCCTGGGCACGGTACGGATGGCATAGTGTGAGTAAGCCCAAAGTCTGACAAAACAAGAGCATAAAAAACACGCCATGGCTGTTTTATAGTGAAATTAAGAGCATATACACACGCACAATGTGTAGAGACTAAACACCTTTGTAGAGTAGCAGAGTTAAAAAAAAAAAAAAAAGTGATGCACCATTTAAGCCTGTGGGGGCAGTGAAGTAAAGGTATTTGGGAATGCTCTGCTGTTGGTCAGGTCAAGGTTTGCAAATGTTACGAGCCCAAAAAATGAGGTCAGCTGAAACTATACTGACTGACCAGGTTATTCCATCTATTTTTTTCTTCCCTGATGGCACAGGCCTATTTCAGGATGGCAATGTCAGGATTCATCAGACTCAAATTGTTGAAACAGTAGTTCATGGGAGATTGAGTATTTTAACACATGGATTGGCCACCTCAGAGTCCAGACCTTAACCCTATTGAGAATCTTTGA